TTCATTCTTCTAATAAGCCTGTTGATCTGGTCTTCCCTGTTACCAGCATCTCCACTTTCTGCAAAATGTGTAGTCTTTTTCTTCATTCCATATCATGGAGAAGATAATTTGAAGGGCCACAGGAAGTTGTTGGCAGCTTTGAAGTGCTTGCCAACGGTGTAGATCTCATGGATCAAGTCCTCCATGCAGATAATTCCATATTTACCAAGAGATTTTGCAATAAGGGCATTATCTGTCAAGGCAATTCTCTGTTTCTTGATCTTTCCATAACCACATTTGTGAATCAGGTCATTCACAGACTTCAGGTTTGGGTAACCCCATGCAATGTATGGTTCCACAATCCTCAGCATGTTAATGGAAGCCTTGTTAAGTTTAACAAAAGTGCCATTGAAGATTTGGCGAAGACAAAGAAGCTGCAAAACTTTTCAGACCTTTGGGCTAACACCATTGATACCTCTGATTCTGATCACAAAAGCTAACTTGGGTTCAGCAGATACATAGTAGCTGCCAGCTTTGCATGCCATTCTAGTCAGCTGGATTTCACTTCTGTACATCTGTCTGTACTCCTTATGGCAGGCTTTAGCTTTTTCATAGATAACTTTCCTCCGTATTTTACAAAGCTTTTTTACAGCCATCTTCTTTAGGCGTTTGGTCTTCAGTATTGCAAAAGCCTTTCGCTTTTTCAAAAGGGATTCTGGAACAGATGGTAGCTTCTTCTTTTCTTCTACACCCACCATGATTCCAGCTGGAAAAAGAGCCAGAGTACTTTTTTCCAGTTTGCCAATTGTGTTTTTCAGGGACTTGTTTTCTTCAGTGCACTTTTTTTCCTATTGGCCAATTGTATTTTTTAAGGACTCTTCTACTTCTCTCGTTAGACTTTTTAAATCCTTCTTGAGCTCTTCTAAGAAGGCTTTTTGGGCTTCAGACCAGTTCATATTCCCTTTTGATGTTGCAGATGTGGGTTTGTTGACAATATTATCCTCTTCAGAATTTCTGTCCTGATCTTCACTCTTCTCATGATATGAACCTATGGTATGTTTCATTTTACTCATGGTTTCTTTATTCCCTGGCCTTTAAAGAGATTGAGCTCTCCTGCTGGGGAACAGAGGGCACTGACCCAAGCTTCTTGTGTTGGGAGCATAGGTCTTGGTCACTGGCTTTGTGTGCTGGGGCCTCTTATGTTGGCAATTGGAGGCTGTAGGGTTTTTGGCAGCTTACCTTGTTTTGGGCTGGAATCAGCAAGGCTGGAACTTTCAGGCAATTCTAGGTTGCCTGCTTTTCCTTTCCTTTAGCTTTCTTCAGGTCCTTTTAGATGGGTGCTGCAGGGTGTTTATCTGCTTGGGGCCCCTTGCAATGCTGCCTCCCTCCTTTCTGTTAATGCACTGGGAGATTTCTTTGAGGTAGAGTGCTGAGGCACCTGGTGGTTTTCTGAGCTGGTTTCCACTAGTTCCCAGCCCTCACTGAGGTACTCAGAGGTCCAGGTGCTGGTGTTTGCCTGCTCTACCACCTGAGCTTCAGGATCTCCTCCTGGTTGACATTTGGAGGCTGTAGGGTTCTGACAGTTTACCTGGTATTGGGTTGAAATCAGCAAGGCTGGGACTTTACAAAGACTCTAGGTTGCTTTCTTCAGCTCCTTTCAGATGAATGCTTCAGGGTTCTTGTATGCCTGGGGCCCTTTGTAATGCTGCTTCCCTTATTTTTGCTGAGGCACTGGGAGACCCGTTTGCTGGGCTGCTGCACTGCTGTTCCCCATCTTTCAGCTGTTCCAGGGTTTTTTTTTTTCAGGGGTGATATTTTCTGGGTTTTCAGAAGAAGTTTATATTTTTTAACCAAATGCATGCGGAATGGCTCTTACACTTAAAATTTGTGTCCATTTCCTTTAGATTTTAAATGTCAGACTTTTAAGAGATATTTAATGCAATTTTCCCCCCTGAACCTACAAAGATTTTATTCATGGAATAGCTTCTTAATTTTCTGTGATCATTATAGATTCATAAATTTAGAGTAGAAGTGACCTTTAAAGTCATTTAGTCTAAGATCTACCTATTAAACATGAGGAATTAAGCCCAGAGAGGTTAAATGACTTACCCAAGATCCCACATACCTGGAATTTCAGCTAAATTCCTCTGATTCCAAATCCAACCCTCTTTCCATTGCACCACTGTCTGCTTTAATCATTACTATTTTTATCCAGTTTCTGGTTACAAATTTCCCCCCCTCTCAATAACTGTGAAAGATAAAATCTTCTATTCTCTAATTCTTTATAATTTTTTCATATTTAGATTGTTCATCTACTGGAACTTATTGTAGTAGAAAGTATAAGGTGCATGTTTAGACCTATGCTTCGGCAGACTGCTTCCCAGTTTTTCCAGAAGTTTTTGTTGAATAAAGAGTTATTTCCTTAGTAGTTTTTCTTTTGAGCTTATTATGACTTTAGCATAATTTTTCTAGCTCTTACTTAGCTAGTCTATTCCACTGATTTACCTTTTTATTTTTAATATAGTAGTAGATAATTTTAATAATTACTACTTTGTACTACAGTCTGAGATCAAGAAGAGCAAATCCTCTTGTCTTCCTACTCCCCCCATCGTATTTCTTGATATTCTTGATATTCCTCTAATAAACTTTATCATTTTTTAAATGTGTAAGTTTAAAATTTATTTATATAATACTAAATTTACAGAATAATTTGAAAAGTGTAGCCAAGCTATGAAAATTGAATGTCTCTCCAAACCTACAAGTGCCTGAGCTAGCTCATCACCACCCCATTCTCCCCAATACTAGGCAATAGTATCCTTTTAATCTGAAGGTCTAGCTCTGTAACACTTCTAAGGGATCAGCATGACTCCAAAGAGAAGTAATTCCTTCCTGGTAAGGGAATCTCAGCCTTTATTCTACCAAGTCTCTTCTGCAAGTCATGCCAGGTGCATACCTTCTTCACAAAGAGAGAAAAACAAGCAATCCAAGCTAAGTAACCCCCTCTTTCCCTGTGTATGTGTGTGTGCATGTGTGTGTGTGTGTGTGTGTGTGTGATTTCCCAGATATTTAGTACATTTGGTTGTTATTTTAAATGGAATTTCTCTTTCTTTCTCGTGTTCCTGAGATTGTTAATAATATACAGAAAAGTTGCTGATTTTTATGGATTTATTTTACATCTTGCTACATTATTGAAACAATTTATTGTCTTGGAGAAGTTGTATGAAATACAGGATAAAATGCTTGAACTGGAGTCAGGAAGACCCAGCTTAAAATCCTGCCTCTGCCACAAGCTGTATGTGACCAAGGACAAATAACTTAATGTCTCAAAGCTTCAGCCAATTAAATTCTCTGAGTTGTAAGTTATGGATGAACAATAAGTTATGTTAGTGGGGAGAATTCCTACATCAATAAAGTCACAAGTCCTTGAGATATTAATTTTTGATTGATTCTCTAGGGGTTTTTTTAAGTCATTTGATCACGTGCAAGTACAGATAATTTTGTTTACGCTTACCCCATTCTTTTGTAATTGCAATAGAGAGCATAGCTAGAGTATTATTTCAAGTAATGGTGGAGACATTGGCATATTTGCTTTATCTTTAAGCTTACTGGGAAAGATTCCCTTGATTTTGTTATTTAAAAAAAACTACTTGCTCTTGTCTTGGATAGATGTTTTTTGATAATATTACGAAATGGATCTTTTATTCCTATATTTTTATTGCTTTAAAAAACTCTCATAAATAAATGTCATATTTTGGTAAAGGCTTTTCCTGTGTCTCCTGAAATAATGTTTCAAAAACAAGGTTGGAGGGGCAGGTAGGTGGTTCTATAGATAGAGCACTGGCCCTGGAGTCAGGAGGACCAGTTCAAATCTGGCTGCAGATTTATGTTATAATCTTCCTAATGTTGACCTGTCCTGTAAATCAACCTGGTAATAGTGAATAATTTTATTTTATTTCTGTAGTTCTTTGTTAATATTATATTTAATATTTTGTGTTGATATTAATTAATGATAATGAACTAAAATTTTCTTTCTCTGCTTTATCTCCCCTTGTTTTAGGTATAAGTATAATATTTTTCTGAAAGAAGAAATTTGGTAAGGTGACTTTTTCTCTCTTTCACAAACAATCTAGTTAGCATAGGGTTTAAAAAATATTTGATAGCATTTACTTATAAGTCTGTCTGGATTAGGTTTGGTTTTTTCCTCCTTTTGGAGCTTATTTACGACTTGCTAGATTTTTCTTTCCAAGAATGGATTATTTAGACTCTACTGCTTGTTTTGTCAATCTGCATATTTTATAATTTTACATATGCTCCTTAATTTGTTTTCAGATTTATTGACATATAATTGAATAATGTAGTTATTTATAATTTTCTTTATTTCATCTCATTAATTATGAATTCCCCCTTCTCATTAAAAAAATTGGTAATTAATGTTTTACTCTTCTCTTAAAAAAAAAACCTCAATAGTTTATCTATTTTATCAGTGTTTTAAAGCCTTGGTTTCCAAAGTTTTATCTGAATGATCTGAAGCCAGCAATTTTTCATGGCCATGGAAAGGGAATTTAGTATAACATAATGTCACATTTATAGAGATATTAGGTTTATAAAATATTTTCCTCACTATAACTCTATGAGGAAGGTGGTAAAAATGTACATTTACCACAATTGAGAAAAAAATGCAGTGGCGGCTAGGTGACACAGTGGATAGATAGAACACTGGCCCTGGAGTCAGGAGGACCTGAGTTCAAATCCGGCCTCAGACACATAACACTCACTAGCTGTGTGACTCTGGGCAGGTCACTTAACCCCAACTGCCTCACCAAAAACAAAAACAAAAAAATGCAAACAACAGCTTACTGATATACTGCACAATTAGATAATTATCTATATTAATGTTCCCTCCGGCAATCACCTCAATCATGGTCAACTTCACTTACTCTCCAGTGATACTCTATTGATCTGTGGTAGAACTTGCCTTTCTAGGCTGCTTATTTTTAACCCCTTGTTTTCTTTCAGGAACAATGAATCATTCTGCCCTGGAAATTGACTCCTATGACACCCACGAAGAGAGAAAGCTCTATGTTATCGATTCTTTAAATGACTTAAACAAAGTGAACCTCTCTCCTGCTGGATCCCAGTGTGTGATCTGTATGTGTGTGCCAGGGGAGGTCTGGCAACTGCTATCTTGTTTACAATTTGTCTAAAAATAACAAATGTTAGTATGAGAATGTGGGTTCTTCTTCAACATTTGGAACTAACTGTTTATCACCAGGAAATCGATTCTACTTTTTGTTTTTGTTCACTAAATTCTTGACAGAATCATAGGCTTGTTCAAATTAACATGCAAAGTCTCTTAATTCCTTGGCTTTTCTTTTTTTTTTTTAAGATTGTGTCTCTGTCTTGTCCAGTTTATAAGGGCAGCAGCTTCTCACAGTCCCAATCCCACCAGTAATCAACATTGGAGCTTTGACCTGCTCTATTACTGACCTGGGCTGGTTCATGTCTCCTTAAATAGTCTGTTGGCCCCCTGCTACTAGGGACTTATCATATTGGTTCCACACTCAGTATAGACACTGAATGCCAACACTTAAATGATCCACCTGCCTTAGTCTCACCAGCAGATGGGATTACAGGTGTGTGCCACCACCCCACTCTGTTACTCTTATAGAAGCTTTTCAGATGCCAAGAAGGAGCAAGTACAGCCATACCTCCACCCTCAATTCCAGGAGCATTTCTCCATAACTCTCGCTTTTCTACTACTTAGAGCCATCAGCTTGAGGTTTCCATTCCAGTTTAGTAATTTTTTCCCAAATTTCTATCTTCCTTGCGGGCTACTTTTAAAAAATCTTTTGTGCTTTTCATAGACTCCCAGGAACTCAGCCTTAGAAGGGGGCCTTGGTGACCAACTAGTCCAAACACAGCTGAAAAAGAATCTTCTATAGAACATAGCCCACAAGTGGTCATCCAGACTTTGTTTGAAGCCCTTAAGTGATAGGGAATATGTATTCTAATGCAGACTGTGAACTTTTGGATACTTCTAATCAAGAAATTTTGTCCTAATGTGAAACTTATATTTGTCTCTTTGTACCTTATATCCATTGCTCTAAGTTTTACCTTCTGAGGCTGAACAGAACTGGTCTATTTGCTCTTTCACATGAAAACACTGCCAATACTTGCAGTTATCTGTCTTGTGCCCCCTCCAAGTATTCCTTTCTCTCTTCTTTCTCTTTTCTCCTTCTGTTATACACACTTCTAACTTCTTCAGAACCTCAAGTCAACTATTACTAAGCATGGTTGCAAGTTGTGAAATGAATAGAAGTGGAGTATGGCCAATCCATTCACTTGAGCCCTCTTCCCATCTGATATGGATCACTGCATGATTTCTTTGGCCATAGTAAATAGATATTGATTATGAAAATGGCTGCTATGGACTGTCTGGTTCAGTGACTATGAAGAGACATACTATATCTAAATCTTGGCTGCAATATCTCTTTTTATGTGGCTTTAACAGTGAGACTGTAGTAAGCATATTACCACCAAAAGGAAATCAATATAGATGACAGTTTCTTTTTATTTTTTTTAACCCAAGGGAAATTTATAATATTTCATATACCATAAAGACCTAAAGCCCAGTTATTACCCTATGCATCTGAAGGAGGAATAGACACATCTTTAATTAATCAATGAAATATTAAATACTATGTGCAAGACAATGCTAGGTACAGTGGAAGATGTGAAAAACTATGAGGCATGGTTCAGCTCTAAAACAGCTTACAATAATAATAATAAAATTAAAAATTTTTTAAAAACTTAACAAATTTAAAAATTAAAAAATAAGTCAGTTTGGGGAACTGCCTGGGACAAAATTCCCTCCATCAATGCAGAAGCTGGGCCAAGGTGGCATGGTGTAGTGGTTAGAATCCTGGAATGGAATCAGGAAGACCTGAATTTAACTTCCCTGATGACATACTTTGACTTGTTCCTGCTCCCTGCTTTCATTATTGCTCTTCGGATTCTTGATGAGTTTTGGCTTGACCTGAAATGGTCTCTGCTTTAGTCTTACTTGGATAATAAAATAATTACTACTGTTACTATTACTAATTTTATATAGTACTTCAAGGTATACAAAGTGCTTTACTTACATGATCTCATTTATCCCCCAACAACAACCCTGTGAGGTAGGTACTGGTATTCCTATTTTACAGATGAGGAAACTGAGGCTGGGAGATAAGTGAGTTACTCATAGCAGTAGTAATTGTCTGAGGGAGGATTTGAATTCAGGTCTTCCTAATTCTAAGTCCAACACTGAATTAGAAGGTACCCCAAACTGATTTTTTTAGTTTTTAAATTTTTAACAATTTTTGTTTATTTTTTTATTTTAAATTTTATTATTATTATTGTAAGCTTTTTTTAGAGCAGAACAATGCCTCATAGTGCCTCAAATACTTACTGGCAATGTCACCCTGGGCAAGTCATTTAGCTTCTGAGTCTCAGCTTCACTAAAATGTAGAAATGAAGATAATAAGCACCCATCTCTGAGTTATTCTGAGGTTAAAATTATACACAAACGTGTATCTATGAAGTCTTTTGCAAACCTTAGAGCCCTAGTAAGCTATTATTAAATTTTTCTGGACCCTAACTTCTTATGTAGAAGAGGGTCCTTACCTCAGGCAACCCAAATCTCCACCCCCTTCTTTCAGAGAGTACTGTTTTAGGCCTCCAACTAAACAAACTTCCCTCCCACTCAGAGCTCAGACAATGTCTGAATTGTTTGCGGTCCTAAATAGCCCTCTCCATGGCCCACATATTCCTGACCTTCAAAATCAAGCTTTCAATCAACTGAGTGTTGCAAGCACCACATTTTGTGAGCTTGGATGCCACATCAAATGAGATAGACTTGGACTTTGACCAAGCCCTTCAAACCTTGCCGTTCCAGGTGGTAGTTGAAATGACAGACAGCTATCTATTCCAGTCTGGCACTCCTTACCCAGGAGACTAAACACCAGTAACCTGAGTGGGTAGGCTTTACAAAATATTGTATTCAGACTAATGATAAACAGCTTCCCAACCCCAACTTCAAGGTACTAGAGTTCTTCTGTCTAGTGCTACAAAATCTGACCATTTCTGGGACTTGGGGAAATTCACCTTCTGCTCCTAGTACTGGCAGAAGCAACATTTGAAGCAGATGGATGTGGCCTCCAGCTATAGCCAGATCCTGTCAGACCCTGAATCAGAGCCCCTTCTTCAACAATAGAATTCTCAAGACCAGGCTAAACAAACCTGTGATTAATCTAGACCTGGAACACCAGTTCTGGCCAATAAAAATTGCTCACTGACCAAGCTAGAGAAACAGCATCCCTGGAGAAGCTTCTTGGGGAAAAAAATTATTAATTAATAATGAGGTAGATGGACTTCACTTAGTAAGCTTCTACTTCATTTACTAGAGCCTTGATATAACTTGGTGTAACTTATTAAAATGAATGAATGGATGGATGAATCAAAGGATCCTACTCTACTTTACAGTTAGCAGGGTTGCAAAGTAGACTGAGCTACTCCTGACTCAGCCTGCTCAGGTCCCACCATAATCTACTTTTCTTTCCAACTTCCCTACCAACACCTTATGCACATGTGAATAAGTTGCATATGGCTAATAGCATGTAATTTGTATATAACACATTCACGTATGAATACACATGGGATATATAAATATACATACATACGTACATGTATAATACACGGTGATAGGTGGGGGTTGGGTAGGGAGACTAACAGCTGGGAAATCAGCTAAAGCTTTTTGAAGGAACTGGTACTTGAGCTGAGCCTGGAAGGAAGTTCTGAGATAGAGGAGGGGAAGGGAGAACATTCCAGGCATGGGGGACAATCTGTGTAAAGACATAGAAGGGAATGATAGAATATCACAGGCAGAAAATAGACCAGGTTGGCTGGAGTATAGGGTGTATAAAGGAGAGGAATGTGTAATCAATCCAGAAAGAATAATTGTTGTTCTGTCGTTCCAGACATGCCCAACTCTTCATGACCCCGTTTGGGGTTTTCTTGGCAAACAACTGGAGAGGTCTGCCATTTCCTTCCGCAGCTTATTTTATAGATGAGGAAACTGAGGCAAACAGGGTTAAGTGACTTGCCTAGGGTCACACAGCTAGTACTTGTCTAAGGCTGGATTTCCTTACTCCAGGCCCAGTGCTTTATCCATTGCAACACCTACCTTACAATTCAGAATGAAAGAAAAACAGGGCCTTTCTTACTTGAATTATGATTGTGATTCTGGTACTTATATTCACTAGCAGAATGGCCTATCTCTCTGAGTCTCAGTTTTCCCATCTGGCAATAATGGGTTCAGATTAGATGCTCTTTAAGATCCACTTCAGTTTCATTTCAGACCCATTTCAACTAAAGTCATAGTCTGTAACCTTATAGACTCTCCAAACCTATGAAAACAGAGGCCTTGACTCATGGCTATGTTGGAGCCCACTGAACTGCTAAGAGAGCCAATTGTTAAATATGCAGTGTGACCATTTGATACTAATATGGACTTGAAATATTGTTTTGTTAAATATTCAGTGTGAGCATTTGATACTAATATAGCCTTGAAATACTGTTTTGTTGATTGCCTAGATTTTAGAAAGTGATGGGAAAACTGTTAATAATGCAGATTAAATTTAGAAGTGTGTATTTTTTTTCCTGGAGAGCCAGCTGTTAGACATTTACCATCAGTGCTTCTCAGATTAAAAAAAAATACAAACACAGTGAAGCTTATATATGAAAAGGTATCAATGATGTTAAATTGAAATAGAAACAATCTAGGCCACTATTGACTTAGAAAACCACAAATTAGTGTAGTCTCTGTTGTATTGCATTTTTATTTCTTTTGTAAACATTTCCCAGTTGCATTTTAATCGGGTTAGGGCTGCACATGGGAGCTTTGCTTGTGCTTTGCAGCCCATGGGTGCTGATCAGATATTTTGCTTCCGCTAATTCTGAAACAAATACATTTGATGGGTGAAGTAGAGTTAAAGGGGGTCTGGTGAACACTTGCACAGTTCAATTCATCTTTCCCCAAGTTTCCAATTTCTTTATTGGAAAAGGTCTATGCAAGCAAGTTTATTGCCATTGACACTCGTTGCATTTTTATCTCAGTGATGAATCAGTTAAGAAACCTTTTCCACAGAGCAAACCAGGCTTAGAAGCACCTTTAAGAACCAGGAATGTCTCAGGGCCAGATTCAGGCATCAAAGATTATTCTGAATAACTCCTCAGGGAAAATTCTAGGGCCCCAATTTTTCACAGAAAGAAGAAATCCCATAGCCACTCCAACTCTTGGGCCTCAGTCTCCATTATACTTTTGCCTAAGTCAGAAAAAAGGATAGATAATATTTACCAGCTCTTCTGCCTGACTTCTCTTTTTTACCTCTCAACATGAAAATAAATCCTACCTAAAGCAATGGGCCCATTTCTATAATTGGCTGTCACCTGAATGCTCTAATCTCTTGGAAATTATCTGACCTTTTTAAAGGAAAAGACAAATAGGTAGCAGAATCAGAAGGACTACATTAGAATCCTGCCTCAGCTATTTGTTAGGTGTGTGACCCTGACCAAATCACTTTCTTTTTCTTAGTCTCAATTTCCTCATCTGTAAAATGGAGATAAAAGTAACAGAGATCAAATGAGGATATTTTACCTAGTTACTGCAAAAATCAAGTGAGATAATATGTTTCCCAAAAGTCTTAGTGTACTTTTAAGCTAGTAATTATTATTTAATATTATTTAATGATATAAATATTTGATTAAAGCTATTTAGGCTATTAAAGCTTAAAACTTCACTAAGATTTTTAAGCTACTATAGCTTTAAAATGCACTAAGACTTTTGGGACTGAAAGTATCTGCAAAGCTCTTTGTAAACATTAAAGAGCTCTATAAATGTTAGCTATAATTAAGGAAGTAACCTAACCCTGGGCAGCTAGGTGGCATGGTGGATAGAGTGCCAGTCCTGGAGTCAGGAAGACTCATTTCCTAAGTTTAAATCTGGCCTCAGACACTTACTAGCTGTGTAACTCTGGGCAAGTCACTTAACATGTCTCCTCATCTGTAAAATGAGCTGGAGAAGGAAACAGCAAACCACTCCAGTATCTTTGCCAAGAAAACCCCAAATGGGGCCATGAAGAGTCGGACACAACCAAACAACAACAATAACAAATCCAACCCTGCTTATCCTTGGATGATAATGAAGGAAAGAAGGGGGCAATCTATATAACACAAGTCCTAGAAAAAAGCTGAATAATTCATGTCTGCAGTCCAAAGACAGCCCCTCCTCACTCAAGCCAACTTTCTCAAAGATCATAATAATAGCAGCTCACATTTGTATAGTGCTTACTATGTGCCAGGCACTGTGCTAAGTGCTACAATTATTATTTCATTTGATCCTCATGACAACCCTGGATGGTAGGTGCTATTATTATCCCCATTTTACACATAAGGAAACAGAGGGTAAATGACTTACCCAAGTTCATACAGCTAAAAAGTGTCTGAGACTGGATTTGGATTTAGGTCTTTGTAACTCCAGGCTTGGTGCTCACTGCATTACCTCGCTGCCACGTTGCCATAGATTTAGGGGGGAAAGTAACCTCACAGATCATTTAATTCAGTTCTCTCATTTTGCAGATAAGGCAGTTGAGGTCAAGAGGTTAAGTGACTTGCCCAAGGTTTCACTGACAGCAGGGAGCTAAGCTGAGATTTGAACTCAGATCTAAATTCAACACTCATTCCACTGCATCACAGTTTTCCCAACAACTGCTGTGCTGAATTCAGCAAAAGTGTTTTCTGACATTACCATTCCATCCACTTTCCATAGCAGAGAACTTGGAATAAAGTTTGAATCACTAAGTCTTTTTCTCATTTGTTTTACATTAGCTCAAGAAAAGAAATTCATAGGAGCTGCTGTTAACATAGGGAATGGAATCAGAAACCGAAGCTTATTCTTTGTGGGGTTGATCATTGCCTTGATCGTCAGCTTGACCCTGGTTTCTTTTGTGATATTCTTACTAAGTAAGTAAAAACCCAGCAGGGACCTCATTATTTAGAACGTTACTTAAGGCTTTAATAGAATGTGCATCCTTCAGTCTGCTTCACGGCTAGCTATTAACCCCTTAGGTAGTACTTGTCCAGAGGGTGCAGTAATAGGCATGAATAACTTCTCTTTTAGTTTATGAAGCACTTGAGCATTTTCTAGGATGAAAGATACAAAATGACACCTTTAGAATGTAAATTCTAGATTGTTTCATTCTTTGTATATGTTGTATATATGCATTTTGTATATACCTTGTTATTTACATGTTCTCTTCTCCATTTGGATGTAAGTTGTCCGAGGGCAGAGGCTGCTGATTTTGCCTTTTTTTTTTTTTTTGGAAACTCAGTAAATACTCATTGATGCACTGATTGACTCAGTACCTAGCACAGTGCCTGACATATGCTCAATTGATATGAGTAACTCCTTCCTAGAAAGCAATTTATTCTTTGTAATAATGATAATAAAAATAGTTGCTGTTTGTGTAGCTTTAAGTTTTGCAAATTACATATATTATCTCATATGATTCTTGAAACAATACTGTATGATGAGTACTGTTATTTTCTCTATTTTACAAAAGAAACTAAGTCTTGGAGAGGTTAAGTGACTTGCCCAGGATCATGCAGCTAAATAAGTGTCTGAAGTAGAATTTGAACTCAGGTCTTCTTGAATTTAAGTCTGATGCTCTATGAAAACCTTAAAACACTAGATAAATGGAGGTGATGATGATGATGATGGTGATGATGATAATGACAAAGACTGCAGCAATGAAGAATCTGCCAGTTGGAAGGAGTTATGCACACCTGGGAATTCTCTAGTATCTTTTATCCTATAGAAATATTTTATGAAATTGAAAGAAAAGTTACTTATGCATATTACTTTACCTTAGATAGAAGTGTTGTCTCTTTGGTTGCTGGGGCTAGATGCCGATAGAAAATTATTCATTGCCACTGACCTCATAATTTTCATCATCATCATATGTGAAATTGGAAGGAAATTTGAGGAAGGCTCACAAAGCTCAGAGAATCCTGTGCACACTTTCTCTCTCTCTCTCTGTCTCTCTCTCTCTGTCTCTCTCTCTCTCTCTCTCTCTCTCTCTCTCTCTCTCTCTCTCTCTCTCTGTTAAAATCAATGACTTAAACTGTGTTTATAGGCAAGGGACTATTAGGTTTTATATTGATCTCCAGCTGCTCAGACATTCTTTTTTGCATTTAGGATGGAAGGATCCTATAGAGAAATAGAAAAAAAGAAGGCACATTCTATTTTAGTTGAACAATTCATCAAACATTCATTAATGTGTATTCTAGCTTATCTTTGCAGACATTTCACATTTTCCCCCTTCAAGTACTTCACTTTCTAACTAAATTGGCCAATTTTCTGCTCCCCAGATTTGAAATTCTATCTACTGCCTCTTTGCCTTTAGGCAGGCCCTCCCCTATGCCTGGAATGTCCTTTTCCTCTTAGAAACCCTAGCTTCTTCAATATTCATCTTAGCTAAATTTATTTATTATTTTCTGATTCTTCTGGTTGTTAATGTTCTATTGTCCTTCAAATTATCTCCTTTTTACTTACTTTGTCTCTGCCAATAGAATGCTAACTCCTGGAGGGGAAGGACTACTGAATTTATCATTTCTGCCTTTGTGCAGTGCCTTGCAGGTGACTGGCACTTTTGAAAGTGCTTCTTGCATTAATAAATTTTTATTGAATTAAATTAAGTGTTATCTACAAATCACTATCCTGTGTGCCAGGGGTGCGAAGACCAGAAAATGATTTTGTCCCTTCAGGGCTTATAACCTAATAGGGGGATGAGACTCATACAAACACCTTTGCAAAAGTTAGAAAATCATTAAGTGCACAGAAGAGTTCAACCTGAATGGTCTGTGAGACTTTTTGAAGGAGAAGATCACTTCCAGCTGAGGAGATGGAGGAGCAATTCATTTTCAACATGTTTCTTGAGATAGGAAATGTTTCCTGAAAGCCTTTAGGCCAGAAACTGACCAAAAACCCGTGTAAGACTTGGTATAGATTGCCCTTCCCCTGTAGGGTTTGAGGGGGAGAGGGGCTGTGGGGAAAGTGAGGATTAGTTTCTGAAGGGCAAGCCTGCATATTTTAATGCTTTGTCATTAAACATGAATAAGTGTGTTTCATAGTTTATTTAATTCTTGTTAAATTATTTGATGAAATCTTGCTTATTTGATGCCTCAATGTGGTCACAATGTTTACCCTGGAAAGGAAGAGAGTATATGAGAGGATGAATTATTGATGTTTTTGAAAAATGTATTTTGTCCCTTTTGGGGCGTTGTGGATATAAAATGTATATCCATAGGTACATACATATGTACGTATGCATATATTGTGTATACGTGTGTACGTATATCTATGTCTCATTATCATCATCATCATCATCATCACTAGTCCTGGAGTCAGGAAGACCTAGTTTGAATTCAGCCCCAGACAGTCACTTGATACTTTTACTGCAGTTTCCTCATCTGTAAAATAGGGAATAATAGCATCTACTTCCTAGAGTTGTGAGCATTAGAGGAGATAACATTTCCAAAGCATTTAGCACAGTGCCTAGCACATAGTAGGAACTGCATAAATGTTTCTTTTCTCTGTCTTTCTCCCCCTGATATTCCACACTCCCCTAAAAATGAAGTTCATTTGAGCAAAACCGGTCGGACACCAGGGTGTACAAAATCCCACACCCATAGTTCTCTATTTCTTTACTGAGAGGAGGGAGTTGTGTTTCATTATCTGTATTCCAAGTCCAAGATTGATCATTAAAATTAATCAGAGGTCAGCTTCCTTTTAGTGTCATTTTCATTTACATTACTGAAGCATGTCAAATTATTGTTGCTTGTTTTGGAGTTAGTGAACCTGGGTTTGAATCCCGGCTCTGACATTTGACATTCATGTCACCTTTGGGAGTCACTTAACTTCTATGGACCTCCTTTACTTTACAGAATGAGAGGGCCTCTGAGGACCCTTCCAACTCTAGAGGCATGCATGATGCCATGATCTTACAATTAGATGACTCTAAGGTTCCTCCTAGCTCCAAATCCGCGGTCCTGGGTTTCCTTCATATTGACTGGAGAGAAAAAATTGACTTTCCCTTCTTGAGTTAGTAAGGCTTTTATTATAATTAAGAACAGACTTAAGGGGTTCCCCCAGAGAAGAAATGATGCAATGTTAAAGGATACAGTGACAAATGTTGGTGGAGGTGCCATGAAATAACTTGAATTGCACACTTCCTCTTCAAAGTGTATGGTCAGCTCTGCCCAACACTGTAGCTCTGCTAAGCTCCTATCTCCCTCATGAGTTGAATGCTACAATTCAGCAAAAATAATTTTCAGATTCAAGGAGGAACAGCTGCTCTCCAGTCCACTTATTTCAAGGTTGGATGGTCCAGTCTGAAAACATAGTTTACCTTTCCATGATACTTTATCAGCGGAGAATAGTGGCAGGGTATCAGTGTGATAAGTCCTTGAAAGGTGGACCTTGGAAAAAACATGAAACTGTGATATGGATAGCAGCTCCAATAGAGTAATGGGGAAATTTTAACTTCTGTGAATACAACTGAAGGTGGTGTTCTCTAGATTACTAAATTGCCAGGAGCTCTGCTGAGGCCAGGTATTGTTTTCATTTCTGGCTTTGGATCCCCAGTGCTTGGCATAGTGCCTGGGCACATAACTGATGTTCAAATAAGTACTTATTCAATGTAATTGACCTGAAAATACATTTTCCTCCTCTCTCAAAAGTATTTGAAGGGAATTATTATTCCAGAGCTGGCTGAACTAGGTCCAAATAATTCTAAAATTGTATTTTTTTTTAAAAAAATCTTATGTCTTTTGTTTTTTACAAGTCATTTCTTGATATACTGACACCTCCCACTGACTCCCCCCTTGTAACACAGGAAAACAATTAAACAAAACCAGTAAAAACTGAAACTATAACAGACACTACATACAACATTCTAACCCCAAGTTCCACCGCCTCTTTATGGAAAGAAGTATGTTTCATCACAACAAATAGCATTTCTAAAATGAAGAGTCAAATCCATTTTGAAGGATGCTTTTCAGAATCAGATATTGTAACTTCGAATAATCATGCAGGCCATTTCAATGGTGGCACAGTGGATAGAATGCTGGACTTAGGAGTCAGGAAAACCTGAGTTTGAATTCTACCTCATATGCTTATTAGCTACATGATTCTAGGCCTAAGTTTCCTTATTTCTAAAATGGAGTAATAATAACACCCACCTCACAGGGTTGTATAAGGATCAAATGAGATATTAAATCGATGATTATTGTTTTCATAAATGTTTTTTAGCCTAGCCAAGGTTTAACATCTATCTGTCAAGGGTATTCAATTTTGGCACCAATCAATCACCAAATATTTCAATGAAGGGTGAACTTTCTTCTTTCTGTTCTCTCCTCCCCCTTTTCCCCTTTCTCTCCCTGCTCCTTCGCTTGACAGAATGTTGTATCACTTCCTGATGGGCAGACTTGCCCTTGTACTGTTGTGTTCTTTACGGTGCCTGGATTAATGTTAAGAGTTGAGTAATCATGATAGAACACATTCAAACTAACTGATATAATTTATTTTCTTTTTTAAAGTTCAAACTGGAAGCAAGATGGATGAAGTATCGAGAAGATTAACAGCTGAAGGAAAGGATATCGATGAGCTCAAGAAAATAAACAGCATGATATTAAATCGTCTCAACCAATTGGACGCTATTGAAAACTAAAGAAGTGATGAGTAAAACATCAACTGAGAAAGTCTGGAGATTCCTTTTACCTTTAAAAATACTCTTCAAGGTGAACTTTTCTAGAGGTTACCATAAGAGGGCAACATATTGTCTGGGTGATGAAAAAGGGTTGTTGACATTCTCTCAGTTGTATCCAGGAGAAACAATTCTAGAAATAGCAATTTCTCAAGCTTCAGTGATACAGTTGTTAATTCTTTGTGGGGCTAAATGATGTGAATGAGAACATGTTGTGGAGAGCACTGGATTTGTAGTCAGAAGAGTCGGGTTCTATTTCTGGCATTGCCACTTATGTTACCCGTGTGACTATGGGCAAGTCAGCTTCTCTGGGCATCAGCGTCCTGGATCATAATATCATAGATCTAAAGTTGGAAGGAATCTCAGTACTCCAATCCTCTGATTTTACAGAGGAGGAAACTGAAGCCCAGGGAAGTTCAGTGACTTGTCCAAGGTGACACAGGTAGTAAAGATCAGGGTTTTAATTCAAGTCTTCTCACTTTAGAGCCATTGCTTTTTCCACTATACTACAATGCCTTTCCTTAAGTGTAAAATGAGAGGGTTGTACTAGATGAGTTCTAAGGTTTTTTCCATCATTGATATGTTTTATGTTGTGTGTTAAAATGCTGGTACGAATGACATTAAAACCTCCTAACTAGGTTTTAAACATATCCTTTAAGAATGTTTGTTTTCAGACGTGACAATATATCTGTCACAAATTTATAATACTCTGTACATATTTCTTAAAAAGACTTGAGGAGTTACTCCTTATAATTACTGGTTTTAAGGATAAGCAGAAGCAACATCTTTTGTATTAAAAAAAATTCTTCTAATAGATTATTATCCTTTTGTTATTCTCTCTACTTTTCCAGTCTTTTCCTTTACTCTTTCACCTTTCCCTCTACATATTCTACTATCCTGTGACACCGGCCTGCTTTAGGTCCTCACACATGATACCCCATCATCTAATTCTAGGTATTTTCGATGGCTGACCATCATGCCTGGAACTCTTTGTGCCTCATGGCTTCCCTGACTTCCTTAAAAACTCGTCTAAAGTACTTTCTTTTACAAGAAGCCTTGCCTGATGATCTCTTAATGCAAATCTGCTGGTTTTCTCCAAATTATTCTGTATGTAGCTTATTTGTACATAGTTGTTTTCATTTTGTCTCTCTCATTAGACTGTGAGCTCAAGAGCAGGGATTGTTTTGTGCCTTTCTTTGTATCTGCAGGGCCTGGCCCATAGCAAGTACTTAGTAAATGCTTTTTGACTTCACTTGACTCTAACTAAAACAATAAAAGCTATTTCTAGATTAGTTTCCTTGTGTACTTGTGTACTTATGTCTCTATGTGTATAAGAGAGAAAGAAATAAATTTATTCTCCTCCAGTAAGTTTATGTTGTAAATTTATCTTGTTTATTGGGTTTCCTACAAGAAGAAAACTTTTTTGGATGATCCTAACCTATTGGTGAAAGGTCTTGAGTTCATGTTGAAAGCTGTTTGGTTTGTTTTTTTTTTTGGCTAGGCAATTGAGGTTAAGTGACTTGCCCAGAGTCACACAGCTAGTAAGTGTTATGTATCTGAGGCCAGATTTGAACTCAGGTCCTCCTGACTCCGGGGCTGGTGTTCTATCCACTGTGCCACCTAGCTGCCCAATATTGAAAGTTTTAATTTCATGTCATATGAGGAATTGCAGACTTAAGGACTTAGGATATGATAGCTATTCTCAGGTATTCAAAGGGCGATCACATAGAAGAATTATTTTTTTTCTACTTGGGCCAAAAGGGTAGAAAAAGCATCAATGGGTAGAAGTTGCAAATAGGCAGATTGGGGTTTAATATTACGAAAAATTTCCTAACAATTAGAGCTGTCTAAAAATAGAAAGGGCTGCTTTTTGAGGTCATAGATTCCTACTCACTGGAGTTCCCAAACAAAGAATAGATGACCACAGCAGATAGATTGTAGAGTGGGTTATTATTCAGGTATGGCTTGGACTAAAAGTCCTTCCATGCCTGACATTCTGTGATTTTATATTAATAACTATCAATGACTTCATGTGTAGGTTTTCCCAGGGATTTTTGTCCTTCTATAAGATAATTCCTTAACTTAAAGGAATGTTTAATACTTATTATACATTATTCTTTCTTTGCACTAGATATCTTCCATGCTGGGAACACATTCCCTCCTTACCTTTCCCTTTTAGAATGCCCAGTTTTCTTCAGCTCAAGCTCAAACTCAGCTGAAACACTACTTTCTACATAGAGCCTTTCCTTTTTTTGACCCCTCCCACTAGCTGCCATCCCTTTCTAAAAATAAAAAATTACCTTGTATTAATTTTCTATTTTTCTGCAATAATTATACACGTACATGCTGTCCCTCCTGATAGAAATGCAAGCTCCTTGAAGGCAGAGACTGGTTTTTGTTTTTGTTTTTTGTATCTCTGGCACCTAGCACAGTGCCTGGCACATAACAAGAGCTTATTAGCTGCTTTATGATTGATAGCCACTGGTGACAGTCTGGTAAATGAAGTATTTAGGAGGCAAGAAGCTTTCTTGGTGCCCATCAAGTGACTTCACTTAGGTAACTGCCTATGCAGCCTATTTGTAAAACTTTGTTGAAATGGTATCTTGTTCTGGTTCCCCTGACCCACCCCCTTCTAGTTAGTATAGTAAGTTTGTAAGCTGCCAGTATAAAGTAACAATAGCAGGAATTATGATCGCAAAGGGGAATGTAGAAGTCATTTACATATTGTCCTATAGATCAATACTTTGCAAATTGTATCATATATTAACTAAAAATCACATCTTGAGACTACGTGCCACAGCAGGGGAAGCCCTCTAGACCTTGCTGTCAGAGACTTTTGCTCCTATGAGCTTTTGTAAAGCTCAGAAAGCTCCAGACATCTGGGTTAAGACCAGTAGAGCACCAAATGCTACTGATAACTTTGAGATGATGTGGATATGTTAATGAACTAACCCCACGGTGGTGGGGATAAGAGCTAGTCTGTCCCCCACCAAAACCCTATAGAAATGAGACACCAAACTCCTGACGTCTGAGCATTCCTCCATCTCCATCTGGGCACACACTGCCCAAGTGTTCCCAACTCCAGCTCTTGGTTATATGAGTGACTCTCCCTCTTCCCATTCTCTTCCCCATCCTGCCTGGCTTACTCCGTCCCTCCCATGCCATCTGCCTCTGTAGCCTCCACCCTCTGCATCAGCTCTGTACTTTTTGTGCTGTTTGCCCCTGCACCCTCTGTGTCTTATTAAAACCTTACTTCCCACTGCCATTGTGGTTTTTCCTGGAGAAGCAAAGAACCAGGAGTGCCTGTCCCCATTTCATAAATTAATTAGCAATTCACTGACCTGAACTCTGCTTACCATAATTGAAATGAACTACAACCATAGGGTCTACATTTGGTTTTAGGAAACAGCATCTGGGAGATAGGAAACATCAGCTTCCCTGAATAACTGCCCATCTATTTCCTAGAAGTACCTCTGTATGCTCTCTGGAATGTCTACATAGGTGGCTTAGTCATTGGATACTTACCTCCAGATTATTTATGGGTAACTACTGTGCAAATAATAATAATAATAGTTACAAAATAATAGCAAAATAAATGGGAGAACTTTTTTGTTTGATACATCATTTAATATAATTATGTCTCATCATAAATGCTGTAAAAATCCTTGCACTTAAAGTTAATCTTTATTTTTAAAGGATTATTTGCATGGAAACAAGGTTTCCATTTTTTCCCCATTGTCCTCTGCCTTAAAGTTACATTTTGGTAGTGGGAACAAGAGTGAAAATATAAGAGAAATGGAACATCAAAAGAAATGAACAATTATTGATAGTTGATAATTAATGATTCCCCTCCTTCCCCCAAAATGAAATGTCAAATAGATAGTGACAGCTTTAGATCCAGTAACTCCCTTAGGGGGGAAAGATTTTCTGCACTATGTCTTCTTTCCTATTTGGTGAATGAAGATTAAAAAACTCCCCAAAGAAATGTCTTCATAGGAAAAATAGTAGTAAAATTTAACCTCATTTTCATAGGTATGGGAAAAGGTCTTCTGATAATGATAAAAAGAAATAATGACATTTCCATTATAATTGATTAAGGATAGATTGAGAATACACTACATTCCCAGCTATGTGCTAGGCACTAATGGAAAGATACAGAATAGAAGCCACTTTTCTTGTCCTCAAGTGACTTACAATCTTACTGAATGGAAGATTACAATTTATACATACCATGAAACAGGTAATAATGTTGAACACTAAGTGAGTAAGGGGTTTCAATGGCTTGTGCTTCAGAGCCCTGGTTTCAAACTCAAATAAAACAGGGGCCACTGAACTATACACAAGGATATTTGCAGGCTGTATATTGACTTAGAAAAGCCATATATTAGTATTATTCATGTTTTATATATTTTAATATTTATTTTGTTAAATATCTCCAATTACATTTTAATTTACTTCTGACTGTACTCAGGAGCATTAGGGACTGCATGTTTGACACCTTTGCTCTACAGCAATGATCTTCCAAAATGGGGGTCTTGGTCTGACCCCAAAATGATATTAATCAGCTAATCTGAGAGTAGAAGAATCCTCCACATAGCTGCCAAAATGATTTTCTTAAAAAAAAAATAGCATAATCATGTTACTCCCCTACTCAATAAATGTCAGTGACTCCTTATTGCCTCTAGGAACAGTCCTTTGTGTGTCATTTATACAGTTTGCTATCTAGTCCCAATCTACCTTTCCTGCTTTTATTATACATTATACCTTTACAATCTGGTCCCAATCTACTTTTCTAGTTTTTATTATATGTTACTTCCTGTCACATACTCTATGATCCAGTCATACTGATGTTCTTACTTTTCCTCACATACATCACGTCATCTCCCATTTGTCCCTATGCCTTTTCAAAGGTTGTCCCCCATACCTAGAAGGCACTCCCCTCACATCCCCTTACTTGGAAGCCTTTGTTTCTTTTAAAACTCATCTC